TCAAAGGGTAAAGATTTAATTCATCACAACAAAGAGTATAGAGGGGAGAAACATCATATGATCCGACTATACTAACAAAGCCCATGATATAGATCACGAGAGGGAGAGATAAAACACATAGCTACTGGTACAAACCCTTAGCCCCGAGAGTGGAATACTCCCTCCTCATCGTGGTGGCCGCCGGGATGATGAAGATGGCCACCGGAGATGATTCCCCCCTCCGGCAGGGTGCCGGAACGGGTCTAGATTGGTTTTCGGTGGCTACGAAGCCCTGCGGCGGCGGAACTTCTGATCTAGGTTAACCCCGAAGGGTTTTAGAATATTTGGGAATTTATAGTGCAAAGAAGGGGTACAGGAGGCCATCGAGGTGGGCACAACCCACCTGGGCGCGCCAGGGGGCCCTGGCGCGCCCTGGTGGGTTGTGCCCCCTCGGGGCATCCCACCAGGTGCAGCTCTGGCCCATTGGGTTCTCCTTATGGTCCCAAAAAAATCTTCGTAAAGTTTCACGGTGTTTGGACTCCGTTTCATATTGATTTTCTGTGATGTAAAAAACAAGCAAAAAACAGCAACTAGCGCTGGGCACTGGGTCAATAGGTTAGTCCCAAAAATGATATAAAGCTGCTATAAAATGATTGTAAAACATCTAAGAATGATAAAGTAACATCATAAATACTTCATAAATTATAGATACGTTGGAGACGTATCAGCATCCCCATTACACTCTGTCGCGGCAGACCTCCTGCCGCCGCAGTCTTCACCGCTATCTCCCGTGTCCGCTTCCTCCGCTGCGCCGGACGCGTCCACCACATCTTCCCCCACACCTCCCGCTCATGCTATTCCCGTTCCAGCTCCCACTAACAATCATACCATGCGCACACGTGCCAAGTCTGGGTTTTGTTTACCCGCAAAAGATCGTCTCAATCTTCATGCATCTCTATCTCCTTCCTCTCTACCCAAATCTTACAAATCAGCTCTCCTAGATCCTAATTAGGCCGCAGCTATGAAAGATGAATATGGTGCCCTTCTGCAGAATAACACGTGGTAGTTAGTTCCTCGTCCTTCCAATACAAATATTGTTTCGAGCAAATGGGTTTTTCGCCATAAATCTAATTCTGATGGCAGTCTTGCACGTTATAAGGCTTGATGGGTATGCTGTGGTTACTCTCAGCAACACAACATCAATTATGATGAGACTTTCTCTCCAGTTATCAAGCCCAACACTATTCACACTGTCCTTAGTATCGTCGTCTCTTCTTCCTAGCCAATTCATCAACTAGATGTCAAAAAATGCTTTTCTTCATGGCTCTCTTCAAGAAATAGTCTATTGTCAACAACCTCTTGGCTTCGAACATTCCTCCTATCCTAATTATGTTTGTCTTCTTCAAAAATCTCTTTATGGTCTTAAACAAGCACCACGTGCCTGGTTCCAACGCTTTTTTACTTATGCTCAAACCATCGGTTTTACCCCTTCCCGTTCTGACACTTCACTCTTCACCTTTCATCACAACAACAATATTGCTTACCTTCTTTTATATGTTGATGATATTATCCTCACAGCTTCCTCACAACAATTTTTAGATCATATTATCTCTCTTCTTCGCCACGAATTCTCTATGACAGATTTAGGTCTTCTTCACCACTTCTTAGGTATTGTTGTTATCCGTGACTCCTCTGGTCTTTTCTTGTCTCAACGTCAGTACACTCTGGATCTTCTTTCTCGTGCTAGTATGCTTGATTGTCAAACTTCCCGTACCCCTGTTGATAAAGATTCCAAACTCTCTGCCGACAGTGATCCTTTCTCTGATCCTTCTCTTTATCGTAGTCTTACCGGTGCACTTCAGTATCTCACTCTCACTCGTCCTGAAATTTCTTTTGCTGTCCAACAAGCTTGTTTATACATGCATGATCCTCGTATTCCACACTACAATCATGTCAAACGTATTCTTTGATATCTCAAAGGCACACTAGACTTAGGTCTTCATATCAACAAATCCTCTCCCACCTCCTTGACAGCTTACTCTGATGCAGACTGGGCTGGTTGTCTAGATACTCGTAGGTCCACATCCGGATTTTTGTGTTTTTCTTGATAACAATTTGGTTTCTTGGTCTTCAAAAAGGCGGATTACGGTCTCCCGCTTGTCTGCTGAAGCTGAGTACCGCGATGTGGCTCATGCGGTTGCTGATACGGTTTGGTTGCGCCAGTTGTTGTCGAAGCTGCACCGTCCTATTGAGCAAGTTACCATTGTTTACTGTGATAATATTTCAGCTGTCTACATGTCAGGGAATCCGGTTCAACACCGTCGCACCAAGCATATTGAGATCGACATTCATTTTGTTCGAGAGAAGGTGGCTCTCGGTCAAGTTCGCATTCTCCATGTGCCTACTTCTGCTCAATTTGTTGATATTTTTACTAAAGGCCTGGCGATTACTCCGTTTCAAGACATTCGTTTCAGTTTCAACGTCGTCGAGCCTACTGTTGACACTGCAGGGATGTTAGAATACAACTTGTATTAGGATTATGATTCCTACTCGGTTCGTAATAAGGCTAAGTCAGGTGCGGCTTAGCTCTTATATATACTTCTTATACCGGCACAATATTGCATCAACAATTATTCAATACAATTCTACAGTGCTAACACTCAGCGGCACCGTGGTTGTACGCCCGTACACCCGACCCGAGCTGCGTAGTGTGGGCAATTGAGAGCCATCAAAAAGAAAAACCAGAGGATCTTCGGTGTGACCGTCTTACATTGTGGATCCAAATTGGATCGGCTAATTCCGTAGCTGGGAGCTATTTAGAAGACGAGACGTCTAAAGTAAGGGAAAATGTAAGGATCTGCCTGGTGGGACCTATGTATCCAACACCATTCTGTACATGGCGTGTGGATAATGTTTTTTTAGGAAAGTAGTGTGGATGATGTTTCTTTCTAGGAAGTGTGGACAATGTGAGAGCAAACTTCCCTTACATGAAAATATGAGCTAACATTTGAACCTGCTTACTACACGTCATTGAAACAAATACCTACCATGACAATTTATTTATGGGCTACCATGGCGGTTTTAATTGATACATATAATATTTAAATACACTCTAACTTTATATATCAAATTAGAAAACACTTAAATTAAAAAATCACTAAAATAAAAAAATATGTCAATCAGGGACAACATTAGCAAATCAACATGATACAATGCAAGAAAATGACACAAATACAATTTGTGCAACACAACTGAGCATAAAACAATAGTTAGTACAACATGCGTAATTAGCAGGTAAATGATAAATGGATAACACATTTATTTATGCTATATCAATAAAAATTCAAAACAAACATACCTAATACAAAGCTATGTTTATAAGTCTTATATTTGTAGTGTAATCGCATTTGGTTTTAGTTTTTCTTGAGACAAAAATAATAATATGTTCTTATCACTAAACTATGTAAAAATTTAGCCTACACATCGAGTAGGACACTATGCTAGTTATACTAGTATAGGACCGACAGTTAGAGAACTAGGAACGTACGGTATATTTGGCTGCTTGTCCTTGCAAAGACAAAGATACATCATCCAAGGATTCAATCAAGTTTTCTGAACTTCAGTTCATAGTGGGAATTGCCTGCCACAAATACTTCACATTTCATCCAGGTTGTACATCCGACAGTGCAAGCATTTCTGAGTAATTCGGTTCCGCTATTTGGTGCTGTGTTTTCTTAGTATCACTACTCATTTTCTGCTCTGTTTCTTAGAGTATCACTACTCTGTTTTCTGCTCTGTTTCCATACCTGCATCGCTCCGCGCCCTCTCTTTTTCTAGATATGTACTTTCGTAGAGGAACTAAACTATCTTTGCAAAGGCATACATCGATGATAAGTAAGAATCTACTATGCGTTTGTACCCCGACCTGTGATGATGTGATAGGTGAAGCACATCTCGATCAAATTGGACCATCAATGGGAACAAAACAAAACCGACTTTATTTCAACTGCAGCAGGAGGAAACGCAAAGTAGTACAGATGTGCAATGGTTTCTTTCTCGGAATTCCTGGAGTTGTCGTACACTGATAGTTCAGACAAATATTGGATAAGTAGCGGCTGGTGGTGGCATGGCTGGCGGCACGGCGGTGGGGTTCTCGGCCGCGTTTTAACATGTGTGGCAACTGTGTGTCGGCGTCGGCGAGGTTCCCGTGGGGCGGCGGGGTTCTCGGCCGTGTTCTAACATGTGTGGCAACTGCGCGGCGGCGGCGGCGAGGTCCCCGTGGGGCGGTGGCGTTTCGGCGGGCCATGTGTGGAAGTTTTAGGCGGTTACAATTCCGCCAAAAGATATAGGAAGGTCATCTTCTCATAAATTTGCGGGAAGAAAATGCCACTTTTACGGGATTCTCTAAAGTTAAGGCTAGTTTGCGGGATCTGTTCGAGAGGCTTTCTTGCCTCTAACTTTCCGTAAACGACGGTTATTTAGAGATAGGGAATCTCTTGAAGTTGCTCTTCATAAGCATCTAAAATCGGACCCCCACTAATACTTCACATTTCATCCAGGTTGTACATCCGACAGTGCAAGCATTTACGAGTAATTCGGTTGCCGCTACTTGGTGCTCTGTTTTCTTAGTATCACTACTCTGTTTTCTTCTCTGTTTTATGAGTATCACTACTCTGTTTTCTGAATATCACTACTCTGTTTTCTGCTCTGTTTCCATATATGTACTTTCGTCGAGGAACTGAACTATCTTTGCAAAGGCATACATCGATAAGTAAGAATCTACTATTTGTTTGTACCCCGACCTGTGATGATGTGATAGGTGAAGCACATCTCGATCAAATTGAACCATCAATGGGAACAAAACAAAAAAGACTTTATTTCAACTGCAGCAAGAGGAAACCCAAAGTAGTACAGATGTGGAACACAACACTGACCAATCCTCCTCCCCAATGCTTAATGCTAAACCAAAATGAAAAAGAAATCATGCCACACAGGAAACGAATTTCTAGCTCGCCAGCCAGCTAGCGCTTCAGTCCAGCGGCCGAGATGCTCACTATGCAGTCACTACACGGCCGACACGGCGTAGAACGCAGCAGCCGCGAGCGCGAACACCAGGCCCACCGTGCCCTGGAGCGACGAGCCGCCGTTCTCCTGCAGGTACGCCGACGGGGTCGTCTTGGATCCAGAGCTTGCCGGTGTCTGCACCTCGGGCGTGGTCGGCGTGGCGGCGCCAGGAGCAGTGCCACCGCCGTTGCACCTGCTCGCGGGCGGGGTCTGCACGTTGCACGCCTTGGGGAGCTCGAGCGCGCGCGTCTTGTTGATGGTCATGCCGCCCAGCGAGGACGAGTCCCCACCGAGCGCGCTGCAGAGGCACTGCGGCTGGGACTGCACCACGGAGCCGAGCTGCGAGCAGCAGGACTTGGTGGGCGCCGTGTCGTTGCCGCTGATGTAGTTCAAGCACGGGTACAGGCCGACCAGCGCCGCCGTGCACCCGGACTGCGCCGATGCCGACGCCACCAGCAGGGCCGCTGCCAACGCCGCGGCCAGGAGGATGCTGCCGCCGGACATGGCTCTCGCTGCCATTGACGGATTTTCTGCCCCTTGGGTTTTGCTAGTGAAAGCAAGAGGCTTTTCTTGGGCTCGATGCTTCTTGCTTGTGCTGATCAGGCTTGTGTGTTCGTGCTTTTGGCGCTCAAATTTGTGTGATTTTATTGGAGCTGTTTTGTTGGGGAAGGTGGAATTAGTTGGGTGTGTTGGTGAGCTGCATGTCCCTACTTCCTACTCGTGGCACGAAATGATTTCTTTCTCTGAATTGCTGCAGCTGTCGTATGCTGATGCTTCAGAAAAAATATTGCACATGTGGCTGCTACAATAGTTTATAGTTTGTGTTCATAGTTGAACCACTGTCGTCCGCGTTGCCGTGTTGGATGAAGCCAACAACGGTATTAAGTGTCAACGGTATAAGCCAACAACGGTAGTAAACTATAGTACTCTCTTCATTTTTATTTACTCTGCATATTAGTTTGACCTAAGTCAAATTTTTCTAAAGTTTGATCAAAATTATAAAAACAATTAATTCTAAGATTTCACTATATATATATAATATTGTATGAAAATATATTGAGTGATGATTCTAATGGTATTGAATTATTATTGTGGGTTAATTTTTTTTGTGCAAACTTGGTCAAAATTTAGAAAGTTTGACCTGAAACAAAGCTAATATGCAAAGTAAATAAAAACACAAGGAGTATGCTACAGTCAATGAAGAAAAACTTCAGCATGCCCAAGGCCAAGGCCTGGCCTGCCTGGGACCTGGCGCCGCCGCTGCATGGGGGTGACTTGGATGCTTGGATGGTTGGCTTTTTGGCGAGGGCAGCAGTGATCCTCATGTTGTCGTGGCTTCAACGGTGACGACTCCTTGGTCTAGATCTGGAGGCCTCGAGCTGGTGGCGACGGTCCTTGCATCGAGTTGGGTCGGTGACCTTGGTACTTCGTGTGGCACCGATGAGGACCTGAGCGAAAGCTCGTGCTCCAGCGCCGGTGACTCATGAGGGGTGTTGTTGTGGGTCCCCTCCCCATACCAGAGCTTCGGTTGAAAATGCTAGTCTGTCTTTTCGGGCTCAGTGACAGCGGCACAATTCATCGATACAGCTTAGGTACCTTTTGGTTCCAGCGCATCAGTGTCTTCGGGCATGCTTTATTCCTTGAGAGAAGACAAAAAGAAAGTGGTTTGGGATGGGCCGAAGTTGAAGTGGCGGACATGTTCAGACTAACCTATTACTTTCCAACATATGAAGTGGGTTTGGGATGTTTGAACTGTCTTGATATATGGGCTAGGTTTGCGGAGGTCCATTGGAGTGGCGTTTTTGTGTCCAAACATACGAAGATTTATGGATTGCTTTGAAGATGCTCTTAGGGATTTACTTAGGGGGGGGGAGCTTACCATACCTCTATGTAGGGAACATGCCCGGATCAACGCTGTTGTCTACCTGATTGTCGGTGAGCTCCCACCTTTGAAACGGTGACCTTCTCTGAAAAAGATGACCTAGTGAATAAATTGGGCCAGCAGGCTGTTCTCTAGCCATTTGGGCCTTAGTCCTTAGTAGCGCTCATTCTAGCGTGCCACAAGCCCAAATGTCTTTTTAGATGAGCTCCAACAAATTCAGAAAAAAATGTTGCTTGACTTTTTTTAACACAGTACAGACGCAAGCGCTCATATAAACGTGCATACACTCACCCCTATGAACGCCGCACACACACACATTCTACCCTTATTAGCACCTCCGAGAGACTAAACCGGCATATCATCTTGAGATTTTATGAAATCACCTAGGCACCTCGTAGTCGACGGGGACGTCTCCTCGCACTGAACGCGCATCGCCGAAAATCCTGAAATAAATCCAGGATAAATGCGAGCATCAGGACTTGAACACTGGTGGGCTGGGGATACCACTGTCCTCCTAACCATCCAACCACAAGTCAGTTCGCAAAATGTTGCATGACTGGCTCATGTAATTTACACAGTTCTTCATTGCCTCCAACCTGTTTATATTTCAACCTAAATGAATGTAATTTACTAATTTATTTTTAGTTAGAGATTCACTAGGGGGTGTGCATATGGGTGTCTGGTTGAATATGTTATGAAGAAAGATAGATTTTTGTGGCATATGATACATATTTTATTTGTCAAACTAAGGATCTAGAAATATAAATATGTGAGACCTTATACAATTGCATGGAGAGAGGTTTTCATTTTGCGAGGACATTGAGAGAGTATTTATTAGTGTATCTCATGTGTTTTGCACATTGATGATGTTTGAATTATAGCTGCTTTTAGAAAAAGAGTGATCATACCATCGGCCTCGACATCGATTGATGCACACAATTATCAGTTAATTATTGCAGCGTTTACAAGAGTCAATATGTCATAAAGCGATAGAAAAAAAGACCACCATGGTCAACCGAAGAGAATGACAACCGACAAGAAACAAGATAAAAATGCTGCCCCATACGTCACAAAACCAAAACAAATTTTACATGGATAAGGTTCTAAATGACCCAATATTGTTTCTTATATTTACATGGCATTTATATGTGATACTCGTGGTTATTGGTAGACCAAGCACTAAAATGAAGCACTTGAGCTTTTGTTGGGCCTAGGCTTCAACAAATTGCTAGATCGGCCACTGTCCTTACCTAGGGAAGGGAATACACCTATCCTTACTAAAAAAGAAACCTATCCTTACTCTAAAGTTACTGGATTTGGTACAAGAAACTATTGTATGGAGTACTAATAAGGAGGGCTACCATGAAGAATTAAATAAATATCTTTACGGACAATTTCATTAATGCGGATGAGAAAACATATATAGAGAAAATCGAGACTAAGATGGAGAATAGTTCATAACTAGAAAAATTCTTCAAGCGGATATCTAGGGATATAAGTATCAAAAAGTGATAGAAACACTACTTATTTACATGCTAAGGCTAGCAAGAGGCATACAAAACATATACCCCTTCGCTCCTGCCCTCGTGTGAACTCTCATCTAGGATTTCCCTGCCTCTAACCGGCACAGCTACCGGTCTGCCTCGTCTTCTATATATGGTCCTTGGACCATGGAAGCATGGTGGATCTCAGCCTTTGCCGCGCGGGAGAGCTCCGTTTTTAGGTGTTTTTCTAAGTTTTGTTATGGTTTGTGTCATGCTTAAGAAGACGAGACGGTGGTGGCTTATTGAAGATGTAATTAGGTTCACCCCACCTAGTCCCCGTCCCGGTGATGCTTCAAGCATTGGCAGAGGGCGTGTGGTGGTGTGTCTCCATCGGATCTCATGGGATCCGGTCAGTGTTTGTCTTCGGTGGATCCGCCTGGATCTGATCTTCGTTCGTCTACGTCTCTGTGTCTGCAGGTTGGATCCTTCCGATCTATACTTCTCTTCATTGACGGTGGTTGTTGTTCTGTTGGACTGGTCCTATGGGGCCTTAGCACGATGACTTTTTGACTATCTACTACAATAATGTTTGCCCGGCTCCGACGCGGGAGGGGGCGATGATGGCGGCGGGCCTTCAGCTCGCTCCAGTGCTTTTAGTCGTCACTAGGTGGTCCACGGACCTAGATGTAAATTTTACTTATAGTGTTCTTTGTACTACCTTGATAGTTGATGAATAGATCGGAAGTTTTCTCGTAAAGAAAAAGAGGCATAGAAAAAATGTGTCTCTCCAAGGCTCCGACGGTCCACTTTTTACTACCAATGTGTTCATATGGGTTGCCTCTATTTTTTTATAAATATCCTTTGGGTTTCAAATGAAGCCTAATACTCATGAAGTGCACAAAACTGATTCTAGTGGTCTGATCCTTAACGGACTATGAAAAGGCTTAAGACATAGTATGAAAATGTTGCTTCCCATTGATCTAAAACTTATTTCTGAATATTTCAGACAACTTTTGTGTTAGAATTAAACAAGGTGACAATGTTCCCTGTCTTGTTTAATTTAGTAGATAGTGTGTTTGCTAAAATATAGGAAAAATGCTGCAATCACAATATCATTAGAGGCATTCTATCTACCACATATAATCCTATAGGTTTTGTCATCACTCTCATTTTTTCTTGAAAAAAAATCGATGTTTACCGTTGTTGATCATATTCTAAGACTCAAAGAAAACAAACAATAATAATATGGGTTGCATATGTGGAACAGAACACCCTACAATATAATCCTCTCGGTCCTCACCAACCACCAATGCCCAATGCTAAACCAAATAATACCGAGAACTAAAGAAATACATTTTTGAACTACCATCCAGCTAGCGCCCCAGACGCTCACAGAGAGGACACGGCGTAGACCGCAGCAGCCGCGAGGGCGAACACCAGCCCAGCCGGGCCCTGGAGTGACGAGCCGCCGTTCTCCTGCAGGTACGCCGACGGGGTCGTCTTGGATCCAGAGCCTGCCGGTGTCTGCACCTCGGGCGTGGTCGGCGTGGCGGCGCCAGGAGCACTGCCACCGCCGTTGCACTTGCTCGCCGGCGGGGTCTGCACGTTGCACGCCTTGGGCAGCTCGAGCGCGCGCGTCTTGTTGATGGTCATGCCGCCCAGCGACGACGAGTCGCCGCCGAGCGCGCTGCAGAGGCACTGCGGCTGGGACTGCACCACCGAGCCAAGCTGCGAGCAGCAGGACTTGGTGGGCGCCGTGTCGTTGCCGCTGATGTAGTTCAAGCACGGGTAAAGGCCGACGAGCGCGGCCGTGCACCCGGACTGTGCCGTTGCTGTCGCCACCAGCAAGGCCGCTGCCATCGCCGCGGCCAAGAGTATCCTGCTGCCGGATATAATTCTCGTCGCCATTGATGGATTTCTCTTCCTCTTGGATAGATAGTGTCAGCAAGATGCTTTTTCTTGGGCTCGATGCCGCTTGCTTGCGCTGATCACTGATCAGGCTGGTGTGTTCGTGCTTTTGGCGCTCAATTTTGTGTGATTTTATAGGAGCTGTTTTGTTGGGGAAGGTGCAATTAGTTGGGTGTGTTGGTGAGCTACATGTCCCTACTTCCTAGTCGTGGCACGAAATGATTTCTTTCTCTCAATTGCTGCAGCTGTCGTATGCTGATGCTTCAGAAAAAATATTGCACATGTGGCTGCTACAATAGTTTATAGTTTGTGTTCATAGTTTAACCAGGTGTCATCGTCGTTGCCACCATGTTGGATGAAGCCAACAACGGTATTAAGCGTCACGGTATTAAGTGAGGCAAGACGAATTCGGGCTAGGATATACCAATGTCCCTGGCAACTCGCAAGTTATAGTAAAGCTATAGTACTCTCTCCATTGTTATTTACTCAATTACTCTGCATATTAGTTTGACCTAAGTCAAACTTTATAAAGTTTGATCAAATTTATCAAAAACAATTAATCTAAGATCTCATAATAGAAATATATGCATAGTATGAAAATATAGTGAATGATGATTCAATGATATTGACTTAGTATTGTGGGTTAATTGTTTTTGTGTAAACTTGATCAAAGTTTAGAAAGTCTGATCTGAGACAAAGCTAATATGTAAAGTAAATAAAAATAGAGGGTATGCTACAGTCAACAAAGGAAAACTTCAGCATGCCCAAGGCCAAGGCCTTGCCCTGGGACCTGGCGCCGCCGCTACCTAGGGGTGACTTGGATGTTGGGATGGTTGGCCTTTTGGCGAGGCAAACAATGATCATCATGTTGTCGTGTTTCAACGGTGATGACTCCCTGGTCTAGATCTAGAGGCCTCGAGCTGGTGGTGACGGTCCTTGCCTCGGGTTGGGTCGGCGACCTTGGTACCTCGTGTGGCACCGATGAGGACCCGTGCGAAAGCTCGTGCTCCAGCGCCAGTGACTCATGAGGGGTGTTGTTGTGGGTCCCCTCCCCATGCCAGAGCACCGGTTGAAAACCCTAGTCTGTCTTTTCAGGCTCAGTGGCGGCAGCATAATTCATCGATACAGCTTAGGTACCTTTCGGTTCCAGCTCGTCAGTGTCTTCGGGCATGCTTTATTCCTTGAGAGAAGACAAAAGGAAAGTGGTTTGGGATGGGCCAAAGTTGAAGTGGTGGACATGTTCGGACTAACCTATTTATTTCCAACATGTGATGCAGGTTTGGCATGCTTGGACTGTCTTGATATATGGGCTACGTTTGCGGGGGTCCATCAGAGTGGCATTTTTGACATATGAAGATTTGAGGATTGCTTTGAAGATGCTCTTAGGGATTTACTTGGGGGGGGGGGTGAATTTACCATACCTCTACGTAGGGAACATGCCCAGGCTCAACGTTGTTGTCTACCTGATTGTCGGCAATTTCCCACCTTGGTTAGAACTGTTGTAGCGGCATGTAACGAAGATCTTCTCTGAAAAAGATGACCTAGTGAATAAATTGGGCCAACAGGCTGCTCTCTAGCCATTTGGGCCTTAGTCCTTAGCAACGCGCATTCTAGTGGGCCACAAGCCAAAATGTCTTTTTAGGTTATCCCCAACAAATTCAGAAAAAATGGTTGGATGACTGGCTCATGTAATTTACGCAGTGCTTCATTGCCTCCGACCTGTTTATATTTCAACCTAAATGAATGTAACTTACTAATTTAGTTTTTAGTTAGAGATTCACCGTGGGGTGTGCATATGGGTGTCTGGTTGAATATGTTATCAAGAAAGATAGATTTTTGTGGCATATGATACATATTTTATTCGTCAAACTAAGGATCTAGAAATATAAATATGTGAGACCTTATACATTTGCATGGAGAGAGGTTTTCTTTTTGCGGGGACATTGAGAGAGTATTTATTAGTGTATCTCATGTTTTTGCACATTGATGATTTTTGAATTATAACTCTTTAAAAAAATGAGTGATCATACCATCAGCCTCGACATCGATTGATGCACACAGTAATCAGTTAATTATTGCAGCGTTTACAAGAGTGAATATGTCTAAGCGATATAGGAAAGGCCACAATATTAATGGTCAACCGAAGAGAATAACAACTCACAAGAAACAAGAAAAAAAATGCTGCCCCATACGTCACAATACCAAAACAAATTTGACATGCATAAGGTTCTAGATGACCCAATATTGGTGCTTATATTTACATGGCATTTATATGTGATACTCATGGTTATTGGTAGACCAAACACTGAAATGAAGCAATTTAGCTTTTATTCAGCCCAGGCTTCAACAAATTGCTAGACCCGCCACTGGCCTTACCTAGGGAAGGGAATACACCTATCCTTACTAAGAAAAGCCTCTGTCCTTACTCTAAAGTTACTGAATTTGCTACAAGAAACTATTATATGGAGTACTAATTAGGGGGGCTACCATGAAGAATTAAATAAACTCTTCATGGACAATTTCGTTAATGCGGATGAGAAAACACATATAGAGAAAATCAATAATGAGACAGAGAATACTTGGAAACTACAAAAAAAATCTTCAAGCAGATATCTAGAGATATAAGTATCAAAAAGTGATAGAAACACTGCTTATTTTCATGCTAAGGCTAACAAGAGGCATACAAAACACATACCCCCTCGCTCCTGCCCTCGTGTGAACTCTCATCTAGAATTTCCCTGCCTCTCGCAGGCGCCGCCGCCGGTCCACCCCATCTTTTATGGTCCTTGGACCATGGAAGTGCGGTGGATCCCGACCTTTGCCGGTGGGGGAGCTCCATTTTTAGGTGTTTTTCTGAGTTTTGTTAGGGTTTGTGCCATGCTCAAGAAGACGAGGCGGCGATGGCTTCTCGAAGATGGAATAAGGTTCTTCCCACCTAGCTCCCATCCCGGTGATGCTTCAAGCATCATCGGAGGGCGTGTGGAGGTGTGTCTCTGGCAGATCTCGTGGGCTCCAGTCGGTGTTTGTCTTCGGTGGATCTGCCTAGACCCGGTCTTTGTTCATCTATGTCTGTGTCTGTAGGTTGGATCCTTCCAATCTACGCTTCTCTTCATCGGTGGCGGTTGCTGTTCTGGTGCGCTGGTTCTATGAGGCCTTAGCACGACGACTTTTCGACTGTCTATTACAACAATGTTTGCCTGGCTCTGATGCGGGAGGGGCAATGATGACGGTGCGCCTTCGGCTCGCTTCAGTGCTTTTAGCCATCGCTAGATGGTCTACAGATCTGGATGTAAATTTTACTTCTAGTGTTTTTTGTATTACCTTGACAGTTGATGGATAGATCGAAAGTTTTCTCGTAGAAAAAAGAGGCATAGAAAACATGCGTCTCTCCAAGGCTCCAACAGTCCACTTTTTACAACCAAAGTGTTCATAGGGGTTGCCTCTAATTTTTATAAATATCCTTTGGGTTTCAAACGAAGCCTAATATTTGTTTGAAGAATGCTTTTGGTAAAATGACGAAATGGTTTCAGTTTCTGGAAATGATTGTTTGCAAATATCTTTCTATGAGGAGGAAACAATCTATGGGCTTGTGTCACACGGTGCTCCTGGTCTTGATGGCTTGTCCTCTCTTCTAGTCATTTGGTCAAGTCCTCTTCAAAGATGATTATCATGGATTTGGTGGAGGATTAAGAGTGCCACCTCATATATTTTTTTCATCTGAATTTTGTAATCATCACACTCATTCCAAAAGAAAACTATGCTAGAGTAATGAAGATGTTCTGGACACATTAGTTAAGTTACTTCTTATCTGAAGAGTTTTACCAAAGCTATGATTAATAAGATTGCACCTATTGATCGTGGGTGCTTTTCTTTTCCAACCAAACTATGTTTGTTAGGGGTAGATTCATTTCAACAAGTGTCATTTTTTTGTTGCTAAATAACAAGTGTAATTTATGCCTATGAGCTTCCCATGAAGTGCACAAAACTCATTCTAGTGGTATGATCCTTAACCGACTATGAAAAAGCTTACGACATAATATGGAAATGTCGCTTCCCATTGGTCTAAAACTTATTTCTGAATATTTCTGACAACTTCTGTGTTAAAATTAAACAAGGGGACAATGTTCCCCGTCTTGTTTAATTTAGTAGATATTGTGTATGCTAAAATATAGGAAAACGCTGCAATCACAATATCATTAGAGGCGTTCTACCACATATAATCCTATAGGTTTTGTCATCACTTGTTGACGTATAATGTATTGTCTAGTCTCTTCCATCAGATTGGTCTTTTGGTTGCATTGGCTAGAGCATACACTTCTACATGATATCAGAGCCAAGAGGTTTTGAGTTCAAGACCCGGTTGTCGCAATTAAATTGCAGTCCATTTTCGGTCTTTTGGTTGCATTGGCTAGAGCATACACTTCTACATCACTCTCAATTTTTCTTGAAAAAATATCGATGTTTATCGTTGTTGATCATATACTGAGACTCAAAGAAAACAAACAATAATAATATTGCATATGTGGAAGAACACCCTACAATATAATCCTCTCGGTCCTCACCAACCACCAATGCCCAATGCTAAACCAAATACTAATACCGAGAAAGAAATACATTTTTGAACTACCACCATCCAGCCAGCGCCCCAGACGCTCACAGAGAGGACACGGCGTAAAGCGCAGCAGCCACGAGGGCGAACACCAACCCAGCCGGGCCCTGGAGTGACGAGCCGCCGTTCTCTTGCAGGTACGCCGACGGGGTCGTCTTGGATCCAGACCCTGCCGGTGCCTGCACCCCGGGCGTGGTCGGCGTGGCGGCGCCAGGAGCACTGCCACCGCCGTTGCACTTGCTCGCCGGCGGGGTCTGCACGTTGCACGCCTTGGGGAGCTCGAGCGCGCGCGTCTTGTTGATGGTCATGCCGCCGAGCGACGACGAGTCGCCGCCGAGCGCGCTGCAGAGGCACTGCGGCTGGGACTGCACCACCGAGCCAAGCTGCGAGCAGCAGGACTTGGTGGGCGCCGTGTCGTTGCCGCTGATGTAGTTCAAGCACGGGTAGAGGCCGACGAGCGCTGCCGTGCACCCGGACTGCGCCGACGCCGACGCCACCAGCAGCGCCGCCACAGCCGCTGCCAGGAGGATACTGCTGCTGCTTGACATGGTTCTCCCCGCCATTGGATGAATCCTCTCCTTGGATTGCTAGTGGAAGACAGATGCTTTTTCTTGGGCTGGAGGCTTTGGAGCTAGATGCTGTTTGTGCTTTTCGCATTCGAATTGGTGTGTTCTTATAGGAGTGGTTATTGTTGGGGAAGGTGGATTTAGTTGGGTTTGTTGTTGAGCTACTTCCTACTCTTGCAACGAAATGATTTCTTTCTCTGAATTCCGGCAGTTGTCGTGCACTACTTCAGAAAACTACTAGTATTTGATATGTGGCTGCTAAAATAGTTTGTGTCCAGACAGAAAGTTGGACCAGGCCGGTGCTGGTCCATGCCGTGTTACATGAAGCTAACAAAGGTATTGAGTGTCACGGTGTGGTTTTTGTTGGCTATCTCTTGTATTTTCCTTCCTGTTAGGATGTGCTCCAGTTACTTGCTTTGTTATCCTGACATGCAACCAATGGATCTGATGCTTGCTCGCTAGACAAATGTAACCAATGGCGCGAGGAAAAAGTTTTTTGAACTCGACCGAGAGCACAAATCACTTCTATCAAAATATAGAGGATCTCACTTCGATAGAATCGAGGTTATTCATATCAATACAACTGTAGAAAAAATGATGACATTGTCTATCAACTTAAGGTGATTTATGAGATCGCTTATGTAGAATTTAAGCTTAATTCTGTTTCAGAACTTGATGATGGCATGGAACTATCTAGTTACCCTACACTTACAGAGGTTATGATATTTATCTTGCTACTAGTAAACATGGAAAATCCTTGACATGATAAAAAAATAGGATGCTCATTAGAGCATCTCTAGGAACCTACTTCTCGGTTTTAAGAAATTGTCTACAAAAACCCAACTTTCTGCTCCGTAAGAGTATACTTTTTAGGGACTCATCATATATTCTAAAGACAGTTCTAATAAATCTCAGTCGACTGAGACTTTATTATGTCTCAGTCGATGCTATATTCATGAGCTCTTAGAATGAGATCCATGTAACTTTTCTTTTCAGTTTTTTTTACACTTTATAGCAGCAAGTCGACTAGACATAGCCACACACTTCTAAACAAGCCAACCAAAGTAAAGGGTGAGCACCTCCACGCCTTATCCCTTGGCGGACTGAACATTCCACTCCCGCTCTAGCCATTGACCGGTTTGCTGCCAGCTGGAATGGAGCCACACACCACCTCCCATTACTAGAGCACATCCTCTTCTGATAGGCATGGAAGTACAGTGCCAGCCCAACGCCACGAAGGTTGACGCATGATGGCTAAATTTCGTGTTTTGACCCTGTTTTATATCTATTCAAGATTTAATCCTAGTCTGATAAAATTTCGAGATCTGACGTTTTTGCTACCGCCAAGGTTCATGACGGTAGGGTCTAACAGCCTACCGCCAAGGTCCCTGGTGGTAGGTTTGCATGCCCTACCGCAAAATTCTTCAAGTGTTGAACACAGTGCGTGCTCGTGCCCACGGCCAAGCACCTTGGTGGTAGGGTTGTACAGGCTACCGCCAGTATATTTGGCGGTAGGGATGTTTCCTACCGCCAAGGTCCTTGGCGGTAGGCTGTTACACCCTACCGCCATGGACCTTGGCGGTAGCAAAAGGGTCAGATCTCGAATTTTTTTTAAACTAGGGTCAGATCTCGAATAGGTTTCAGAAAAGGGTCAAAACGCAAATTTTTGCCGGGCATGGTCCAGGCCAAGGTGGAGAAGCATGTCTAGGAGGTTGGCCACGTCGAGTTGGAGGTCATGTCATCGCCCTATATTGACTATAGTGGTTGGAGTTTTGTATACTCCTCTATGTACTTGTACTTAGACCGACTGCAGACAAAATCAGCCCCCCCACCCCTCCACACACACACACTTTCTGCCCTCATTTGGAACCAGTAAAAGATTATCCCCTACTTCACTTCATGTTCCAACCAAGTCAACAAAAATCACCTCTAAAATCCACCCACTGGTGTTTTATTGATTTCATATGAGAGAAGTGCATTTTTCAACCCCAAACTCTTGCCCTAGTCTAATTTACAACCCCGAACTTCAATACCGTCTAACTTACAACCCTCAACTCTCAAAACCGTTCAGGATTCAACCCTCCCCTCCTTGTTGACTGGTTTTGACCAGGGACGACCAGTTTTGACCAGTCAACGGATCCAATCAGCATGCCACATCAGAAAAAAATTCAAAATTTCAAGAAAATACAATTAAAAATCTGTAAGATCAAGAAAAAATCCGAAATAAAATTTCCCGGGAAAAAAATTTGCGAAAAAATGTCGAGAACTTTTTCTTGTAATTTTCGGGGAAAAAATAAAAATAATAATTTTTTTGGAAATTACTTTTTATAGAAATTTTAACTTTTTTATTTTACATTTTAAAATATTTTTCTTGGGAATTTGAAATTTTTCCTTGGAGTTTTTTTATTTTAAGTATTTTTTGGTTTTTCATGGAAATATTGATAATTTTGTTTTTCAGAAATTCGTTTTTTTATTTTCCCCTGATTTTTTCCTGGAAATTTGATTTTTTTTCTAATTTCTTTTCCTGGATTTTTTTCGATTTTACAGATTTAATTTTTTTTTGCTGACATGGCATGCTGACTGGACCTGTTGACTGGTCAAAACCGGTCAACAGAGAGGAAAGGGTTGAATCCTAGCCGATTTTGAGAGTTGGGGGTTGTAATTTAGACGGCATTGGAGTTTGGGGTTGTAAATTAGACCAGGGCAAGAGTTCGGGGTTGAAATATGCACTTCTCACATTTCATATAACTACAGGACGTTGTTCAAATTTTAAGAACAAAGATTTAGAAAATGAGAAAAAATTGAACAACAAAAATCTGATAAAATAATTCCATCATTTCTAATTTTTTTTGAAGGTTTCCATAATTTTAGTGGGTATGAAAGCAATGTGTACGTAAAATATTCAAATATCCATAATTTTAGTGGGTACCAAAATGCTTTTGAGTGAATTTTAATTGGATTAATTTTGGAATTTCAAATCATCCATCCAAATATCACTATCTCTCACTACAGAAAATATTCAACAATTTTTTACGCATTTGCCTCCTCTATGGCTAGTCATCAGTTCTGATTCGTACAAGGAGGGATTTGCCTGCTTGTTTGCATTTTTCATTGGGATTTTTTTGGTCCAAAATCATAAACCTTCTGTTTTGCCAAGTAGTTTTCCCTTTTCATATGAATTGCTCAACTTAAAACTTTAGTAGCCCATCGGTACGACCTGGCATTTGTTGCTGCTACTACAGAACTCCTCCCAACCCGCACCGCCAACTAGTAATGGGAAAAACCATTGTGGAAGGACCTACAAATGTTAGGACACACCTTTCATGATCGGAAAAGAAGACCGCTCTTGACATTATAACCACCTGCGATAAAAAAAGGTTGCATGAAGAATAGGTTGGCGGCTACTTAGTCGCTCTGTGGAGTATCACTAGATATATGCTTGACTACCACGTTGTCATTTGATCGTCACCACCACATATACTTCCTCGAATGTTTTGTACTTCTCATCGGGCCTCAGTTATGTTGTTGCTTATAAAAGTGAGGCCACTTGTGCATGTAACATCATCATGGCTCAAGGGAGCCCCTTATGGATACCATCATCCCTCTAGCAAGTATTTGGTGGTTGTCGAGGTTAGATAAGTGCTATGGAGATGTCAGATTCTAGTTGAAGACGAAGAATAACAATCAAAGATGTCGAATCTCTGTTTAAAATGAGAAAAAAATCAATTGAAGAGTAACGTTATTATTTTGTTGAATATAAAAGTGCTATTGCTTCTTTTATTTTATGTTATGATTCAAAACAATAATTACTTTTCCTAGAAAATGTCGACTAGTAGTATATTACTTGATCTATAAAATATCTATTTATGGACATGGATGATAACATGCTAGGGCAATAATCGCATGACCTTAGCCCCTTGCCTTTAGGGTAAGCCCCAACATGCCAAGAAATGTAGCATGATGGTACATTACATTGATGGTTTCTCAAACAATAGTTCATTTTGAAATCTTCTATTGAAATGCATCTATTTTGATAAGTTGGGTTGGTTTGCAATGTCATTTTGGTTTTCAACGTTGTTGTGCAGTCTAAGCAAGTTGATTATATGTAAACTGAACCAAGTAAGAAAAGTAAACTTAGACGATAAATTGCTTTAAGAAGAAACCACTTGTCAACATCCAATTGTACTCATCAAATCTTTGCTAGGATATTGTTAGAGTAGTACTATATTGTAGAACCTTGTTTACATAAGTATATTTAAAGTACCACATAGTCATAAACATACATAAACAATTATGGTACACATAAGTGGCACACATTATTATGTGAAGATGATTATTATCAACCTTAATGTTTTTCCACCATTTAAATGTGGTTTAGCTCATCAAATAGTCTAAATGTTTAAGTATACTATACAATTCTAGAACATAGCTGTACTATAGGATTGCATTGTCGTTCATCTTATTAATAATAACAATTTAATATTATGATAAATGATGAATAAATGAAAAAAATTAAGATTTAGCAACAAAACAAGTTGTAAAAAAGTAAAGATATTTAGTATAAATAATATGTTTAGTGGCAAAAATGTTATGTCAAAATGACAGGATAAAATCATTGAAAATAACATCAAAATATAAATATATAAACACAATTTGAATGTTCTTAATATGAGGAAATGCCAAAAAAAATAATTGTATTTCTCATACATATTCTATAATAGCATAAATGAGTGTCTTTTTTTTCTTTTGTTCACACATGCTCTGATAACATATTTGCAACATGAAAAATCTAGACAAGAGCAAGTAAGTTAACACTG